TAGAAGCTTTAAAAAAGAAATTAGAAAACATGTTTAGAGAAGGGGTATACATGTGTCAAATCGTGACCTTGCATCTAAAACTTAGTTGTCCGACTGGATTTTGGTTATTAAAATGACCTTACTGGTTTCAAATCCTCCATTCCATTTTCCCGCTTTAATTAGACGATCAGGTTTCCGTTTGGGAACAGTTTTTGTTTATATCGTGGGGGAAAGGATAGACATGGGATTCAATGCAAAATATTTAATCCCTGGGTCCTATAAATCTGGAACAGTAATTAATAAAATGCTCTGCTGGGCGCAGCTTGATACGACCGCAGAGGTCGAACCCTGAACTGTTGGGGCAAGTATGGACACAACATTCAAGCTTGATACAGCACTGAATCTGGATTGTGATTAAATATTTGACACAGCATAGGTTTCTGACACAGAATGAATGTGGTCTAAGAACTTAAAATTTTTTTAATTTACCTATTCAAACCATATCATTATTATTTGCTTTTATATATAAATCAGAAATAACCAATTTAAAATGGAAAATTTTAAAGAAAAAAAAGGAAAAAAAAATCCCCCCTCAAATTTTTTGAACCCCCTTATGATTCATCACCCCAAAACTCAATCCCAGCCTTCCCTTTGTGTTAAAATGTATGGTGCCTTGCAGTACAATTTCAGAGAGATCCCTACACTTGAACACAAGTTATTGTCTGGAAACTAGAAAAATGCTTGTTTTTTTGCTCCTTTTTGGCCCCAAATTCCTAAACATTTAGGGCAATTACCCCCAAACTCAAACCCAGCTTTCTATTGTGATATGAAACCTTGTTGTACAATTTCATAAAGATCCATACACTTACACACAAGTTATTGTCCTGAAACTAGAAATATGCTTGTTTTTTTTCCCCTTTTTGACCCCTAATTCCTAAAATTTTATGGCAATTACCCCCAAAATCAATCCCAGCATTCCCTTTGTGGTATGGTACCTTGCAGTACAATTTCAGAGAGATCCATACACTTGAACACAAGTAATTGTCTGGAAACTAGAAAAATGCTTATTTTTGGCCCCCTTTTGGCCCCTTATTCCTAAACGTTTTGGGCAATTACCCCCAAACTCAATTCCAGCTTTCCCTTTGTGGTATGGAACCTTGTAGTACAATTTCAGAAAGATCCATACACTTACACACAAGTTATTGTCCTGAAACTAGAAAAATGCTTGTTTTTTTTGCCCCTTTTTGGCCCCTAATTCCTAAAATTTTGAGGCAATTACCCCCAAAATCAATCCCAGCCTTTCATTTAGTGGTATGGTACCTTGCAGTACAATTTCAGAGAGATCCATACACTTGAACACAAGTTATGTCTGGAAACTAGAATAAAATGCTCCGCTGGGCGCAGCTTGATACGACCGCAGAGGTCGAACCCTGAACAGTTGGGGCAAGTATGGACACAACATTCAAGCTTGATACAGCACTGAATTTGGATTGTGATTAAATATTTGACACAGCATAGGTTTCTGACACAGAATTGAATGTAGTCTAAGAACTTAAATTTTTTTAATTTTCCTATTCAAACCATATCATTATTATTTGTATTATATATAAATCAGAAATAACCCATTTATAAAATGGAAAATTTTAAAGAAAAAAAAATCCCTCCCCTAAATTTTTTGAACCCCCTTATGATTCATCACCCCCAAACTCAATCCCAGCCTTCCCTTTGTGGTATGGTACCTTGCAGCAGAGTTCACGAAAATGGTCGGTCCTGTCGGTCCTGTCGGTCAAAATGAGGCTCGGACCAGTATTTTGAAGGCTAGTGCCGGTCCCAATGACCGATGTAAAAATGGCCGTTGTAGTGCATATTTCGACACTTTTTTACATCGGTTATTAGATGTACCGCAACTGTTTCCAATAAGTGTTTACATCGGTTATCAGATGTATCCGCTGCCAATTTCCAGTACTGGTTTTACCGTTTACGGATTTATTATAAACAAACCAAAGCGGCGATCTACACGTGGCCTACTTAATTTGTCCATAGAGCCATCCCTGGCAAACAATCGGCGATTGAACCCTACAATGGAGCAAACAAATACTGTAACAGCCGAGAAAGTGATTCAGATGATGAAATGGATAGTGAAGATGACTTTAAATAAGAACAATCAGAAGACCTGAACTGGTCTTTCATTGTTAATTTGCCTGTGGGTGCGAAGAATAAAACTAATATTAATAAAGTTATTTTTCGATAAAATATGTTATTAATTTTTTTTCAGGATAAAATTGACAGATTTTGTAGGGCTGGCTAAAATTTTGTAGGACTGACAAATAATCATGCTTTGTCGGTCCCATGACCGACGGGTCAAAATAAGTTTTCGCGAACTCTGTTGCAGTTCAATTTCAGAGAGATCCATACACTTGAACACAAGTTATTGTCTGGAAACTAGAAATATGCTTGTTTTTAAGGCCCCTTTTTGGCCCCAAATTCCTAAACATTCAGGGCAATTACCCCCAAACTCAAACCCAGCTTTCTATTGTGATATGGAACCTTGTAGTACAATTTCATAAAGATCCATACATTTACACACAAGTTATTGTCCTGAAACTAGAAAAATGCTTGTTTTTTCCCTTTTTGGCCCCTTATTCCTAAAATTTTGAGGCAATTACCCCCAAAATCAATCCCAGCCTTCCCTTTGTGGTATGGTACAATGTACCTTGCAGTACAATTTCAGAGAGATCCATACACTTGAACACAAGTAATGGTCTGGAAACTAGTAAAATGCTATTTTTGGCCCCTTTTTCCTAAACGTTTTGGGCAATTACCCCCAAACTCAATTCCAGCTTTCCCTTTGTGATATGGAACCTTGTAGTTCAATTTCAGAAAGATCCATACACTTACACACAAGTTATTATCATGAAACTAGAAAAATGCTTCTTTTTTGCCCCTTTTTTGGCCCCTTATTCCTAAAATTTTGAGGCAATTACCCCCAAAATCAATCCCAGCATTCCCTTTGTGATATGGAACCTTGTGGTACAATGTCAGAGAGATCCATTAACTAACACACAAGTTATGTCTGGAAGTTACAAAAATGCTTATTTTTGGCCCCTAATTCCTTAACTGTTGGAATCATAACCCCCAAAATCAATCCCAACCTTCCTTTTGTGGTATTGAACCTTATGATAAAATTTCATGGAGATCCATTCACTTAAACTAAAGTTAGAGTGCGAAACCAATGTGTCTTTGGACGACAACGAGGACACCGACGTCATACCAATATATGACCAAAAACTTTTTAATTTTTGTGGTCGTATAAAAATGCTTATTTTTGGCCCCCTTTTGGCCAATTATTCCTAAACTTTTGGGCAATTACCCCCAAACTCAATTCCAGCTTTCCCTTTGTGATATGGAACCTTGTAGTACAATTTCAGAAAGATCCATACACTTACACACAAGTTATTGTCCTGAAACTAGAAAAATGCTTGATTTTTTGCCCCTTTTTGGCCCCTAATTCCTAAAATTTTGAGGCAATTACCCCCAAAATCAATCCCAGCCTTTCATTTAGTGGTATGGTACCTTGCAGTACAATTTCAGAGAGATCCATACACTTGAACACAAGTTATTGTCTGGAAACTAGAAAAATGCTTATTTTTGGCCCCCTTTTGGCCCCTTATTCCTAAACGTTTTGGGCAATTACCCCCAAACTCAATTCCAGCTTTTCCTTTGTGATATGGAACCTTGTAGTACAATTTCAGAAAGATCCATACACTTACACACAAGTTATTGTCCTGAAACTAGAAAAATGCTTGATTTTTTGCCCCTTTTTGGCCCCTAATTCCTAAAATGTTGAGGCAATTACCCCCAAAATCAATCCCAGCCTTTCATTTAGTGGTATGGTACCTTGCAGTACAATTTCAGAGAGATCCATACACTTGAACACAAGTTATTTTCTGTAAACTAGAAAAATGCTTATTTTTGGCCCCCTTTTGGCCCCTTATTCCTAAACGTTTTGGGCAATTACCCCCAAACTCAATTCCAGCTTTTCCTTTGTGATATGGAACCTTGTAGTACAATTTCAGAAAGATCCATACACTTACACACAAGTTATTGTCCTGAAACTAGAAAAATGCTTGATTTTTTGCCCCTTTTTGGCCCCTAATTCCTAAAATTTTGAGGCAATTACCCCCAAAATCAATCCCAGCCTTTCATTTAGTGGTATGGTACCTTGCAGTACAATTTCAGAGAGATCCATACACTTGAACACAAGTTATTGTCTGGAAACTAGAAAAATGCTTATTTTTGGCCCCCTTTTGGCCCCTTATTCCTAAACGTTTTGGGCAATTACCCCCAAACTCAATTCCAGCTTTTCCTTTGTGATATGGAACCTTGTAGTACAATTTCAGAAAGATCCATACACTTACACACAAGTTATTGTCATGAAACTAGAAAAATGCTTGTTTTTTGCACCTTTTTTGCCCCCTAATTCCTAAAATTTTGAGGCAATTACCCCCAAAATCAATCCCAGCATTCCTTTTGTGATATGGAACCTTGTTATACAATGTCAGAGAGATCCATACACTAACACACAAGTTATGTCTGGAAGTTACAAAAATGTTTATTTTTGGCCCCTTATTTCTTAACTGTTGGTACCATAACCCCAAAAATCAATCCCAACCTTCCTTTTGTGGTATTGAACCTTGTGGTAAAATTTCATAGAGATCCATTCACTTAAACTAAAGTTAGAGTGCGAAAACCAATGTGTCTTCGGACGACGACAACGATGATGACGCCGGACAACGACGACGACGACAACCAACGTCATACCAATATACGACCACAAAAATGTTTTTGCTGTCGTATAAAAATCCCCAATACTGAAGTGGATTAAGGATCTTCATGAAGCTAAAAGTGTAAAGTAACATCTGTTCAAACTTTATTTTTCATAAGATTAGCCCCAAAGCAGATATATAGTGTACCATTATTAGCCAGTCTTTAACTTTAATGAAAATAAATGGAATACAAACCTTGTGGAATAACTTTCAATTTCCATCCACAACTAACAATTTTTCTCTTTGCAGTAACTACAAAGCAAACATACAGCCCATTATCTGATACAGCTGTCTTGAAAGTTAATGGTGGTTTATTACAGGTTCCTCCTTCATATTTATGACCATGAAGATCTGATTTTACAGTCCCACCATTTGTGTCACCATGGTCACCATATAAATTGGATTTGACAGCTCCACTACTTGTGTCACAAAATAGATAACTTTTGACAGCTTCACCTTTTGTGTCATCATGTAGATCACTGTTGACAGCTCCACCTCTTGTGTCACAAAATATATCACTTTTGACAGCTTCAGCATTTGTGTCAAAATGTGAATCACTTTTGACAGCTTCACTTTTTGTGTCATCATGTACATCACGATCACTTTTGACAGCTTCACCTTTTGTGTCATCATGTAGATCACTTGTGACAGCTCCACCACTTGTGTCACAAAATAGATCACTTTTGACAGCTTCACCATTTTTGTCATCATGTAGATCACGTTTGACAGCTCCATCATTTGTATTTCCATGTAGATCTCTTTTGACAGCTCCATCTTTAGTGTCACCCAATAAGTATGGTTTAGCAGCTTCATCATTTATGTCTTCGTTTTTATCTAGGTCTACAGCTCTTAATATGTCTTCAGTTCTATAATACCATACTACATTATATGGGTTGTCATTTAATGATGGCTTCATTGTAACTTTATCACCTTTTAGTTTTTTTTCAATTTTATGCTCTTCTGGTACTGGTAATTCTAAAAATACACAACATACAAGGAATTATTTGATCAAACTAGAATAAATTGCTTCGCCGAGCACAGCTGGATACGACCGCAAAGGTCCAACCCTGAACAGTTGGGGCAAAAATGGACACAATATTCGCGCTTGATACAAGTCTGAATTTGGATTGTAATTAAATATTTGACACATAATAGGTTTCTGACACAGAATAACTGTAGTCAAAGAACTTAGAATTGGTTATATGATTTGAATTTATATTCAATTTTTTGCTTTTGTGCAATACAAATTGACCCCCCCCCCTCCCCCCACAAAAAAAAATTAATTTACACCCCTTTTTTTGTGCTTTTGTGCAATACACTATGCTGTTGCATATTGACCCCCCCACCCCTGCAAAAAAAATAATATTTGAAGAATTTTTCTTTTTAGTTTCTGAAATCTGAAATGAGAAAAAATTGACCCCCCACAAATTATTGTCTGGAAACTATCAATCCCAACCTTCCTTTTGTGGTTATAAACCTTGTGTTTGAATTTCATAGATTTCTATTTAATTATACTAAATTTATTGTCCGGAAACCAACTGTCTTCGGACGACGCTGATGACGACGACGTGATACCAATATACGACCGCAAAATTTTTTGCGACCAAAAATTTGAAAATCTGGAATAATTATTAAAAATTTATTTCTGAAACTAACCTAAACAAGCATTCCGAGAGTATTGCATGGCAATACATAGTCCCCTACTGGTAAAAAATTCATTATACTGAAACAAAATGCTAACTTGATTTATAACTTGTCATGGTGTAAACTATATAACAATTATCAAATCAAAATCTTCAAGCATTACGAAATAAATGTGAATAGTGGCAACATGTGGACACATATGATGCCCCCGCTTGCATAGCATATAGTTATAAAGGGACATAACTGAAGAACGGAAAAAATGACGCTACCCAAATTTGAACTTGATCTGAGTTTTGTGATAATAACATTTGGTTGAGGCTAACTTAAGTAGAGAACAGAAACTAAAAATTCAGCAATTTTTCTATTTGTAAACACGCATAACTTTAGAACATTTGTGTATAAGTTTTATAACATTTGGTTGAGACAAACTAAAGTTAGAGAACGGAAACGAAAAATTCAGCAATTTTTATGTTTATAAAGGGACATAACTCAAGAATGGTAAAAGTGTTCTCACCAAATTTCGTACTTAATCTGTATTATGTAGTAATAAGCATTGTGTATAAATTTCATAACATTTGGTTGAGGCAAACTAAAGTTCGAAAACGGAAACTAAAAATTTGTACTTGATCTTAGTTTTGTGGCAATGAATATTGTGTATAGGTTTCATAATGTTTGTTTGGGGCAAACTTAAGTTACAGAATGGAAACTAAAAATTATGCAGTCTTTCGATTTATAAAGGGGCATAACTCAATAATGGTTAAAGTGACACTACCCAAATTCAACTTGATCTGTGTTTTATAAGTGGAAGTCAAAATTAAACATTGCATTGTATAAAGCATTGATTGTAGATGATTCAACTATAAAGGAAGATAACTCCAATTTTAATAAAATGCTTCGCTGGGGCGCAGCTTGATACGACCACAGAGGTCGAACCCTGAACAGTTGGGGCAAGAATGGACACAACATTCAAGCTTGATACAGCTCTGAATTTGGATTGTTATTAAATATTTGACACAGCATAGGTTTCTGACACAGAAAGAATGTAGTCTAAGAACTTGAATTTTTTTAATTTACCTATTATGGTCCAATGTCCAAAATCAAAATACATGGTTAGATTCAGCATATCAAAGAACCGCATATATTCAATTTTTGTTAAAATCAAACAAAGTTTAATTTTGGATCCCAACTTGGACAAACTTGAAAACTGGGCCCATAATCAAAAATCTAAACACATGTTTAGATTCAGCATATCAAAGAACCCCAAGAATTCAATTTTTGCTAAAATCAAACTAAGTTTAATTTTGGACCCTTTGGACCTTAATGTAGACCAATTTAAAAAACGGGACTTAAAATTAAAAATCTAAATACACGGTTAGATTTGGAATATCAAAGAACCCCAATAATTCAATTTTTGATGAAATCAAACAAAGTTTAATTTTGGACCCTTTTGACCTCAATATGAACCAATTTGATAGCGGGCCCACAAATAAAAAATCTAAATTCATGGTTAGATTCAGCATATCAAAGAACCCCATATATTCAATTTTTGTTGAAATCAAAAAAAGTTTAATTTTGGACCCCAACTTGGACAAACTTGAAAACTGGGCCCATAATCAAAAATCTATGTTTAGATTCAGCATATCAAAGAACCCCAAGAATTCAATTTTTGCTAAAATCAAACTAAGTTAAGTTTTGGACCCTTTGGACCTCAATGAAGACCAATTTAAAAAACGGGACCCAAATTAAAAATCTTAAAACACGGTTAGATTTGGCATATCAAAGAACCCCAATAATTCAATTTTTGATGAAATCAAACAAAGTTTAATTTTGTTCCCTTTTGACCTCAATATGAACCAATTTGATAGCGGGGCCCACAAATAAAAAATCTAAATACATGGTTAGATTCAGCATATCAAAGAACCTCATATATTCAATTTTTGTTGAAATTAAACAAAGTTAACTTTGGACCCCAATTTGGACCAACTTGAAAACTGGGCCCATAATCAAAAATCTAAATACATGTTTAGATTCAGCATATCAAAGAACCTCATATATTCAATTTTTGTTGAAATCAAACAAAGTTTAAATACTGGACCCTATCTTGGACCAACTTGAAAACTGGGCCCATAATCAAAAATCTAAACACATGTTTAGATTCAGCATATCAAAGAACCCCAAGAATTCAATTTTTGTTAAAATCAAACTAAGTTTAATTTTGGACCCTTTGGATCTTAATGTAGACCAATTTAAAAAACAGGACCCAAAATTAAAAATCTAAATACACTGTTAGATTTGGAATATCAAAGAACCCCAATAATTCAATTTTAGATGAAATCAAACAAAGTTTAATTTTGGACCCTTTTGACCTCAATATGAACCAATTTGATAATGGGGTCCACAAATAAAAAATCTAAATACATGGTTAGATTCAGCATATCAAAGAACCCCATATATTCAATTTTTGTTGAAATCAAACAAAGTTTAATTTTGGACCCCAATTTGGACCAACTTGAAAACTGGGCCAAAAATCAAAAATCTAAATACATGTTTAGATTCAGCATATCAAAGAACCTCATATATTCAATTTTTGCTAAAATCAAACAAAGTTTAATTTTGGACCCTTTGGACCTTAATGTAGACCAATTTGAAAACTGGACCCAAAATTAAAAATCTAAATACACTGTTAGATTCATAACAAATAAATAAATGTGATCAAAGATTTTACAAATCTAATGTGCCATACTGTGCAATTTAAGATTACTTCTTGAAATTTTTCAATATTTGAAATTTGAAAAAAAAATAATATTTGAAGAATAATTTCTTTTTAATTTCTGAAATCTGAAATGAGAAAAAATTGACCCCCCACAATTTCTTTTTATCCCCCCCCCCTTTTTTTCCCCAAAAAATTCTTTCCCTCAAGATATGGTCATAATCTCAATTCAAATTTCCAATGGAGTTGGCAACCATAATTACCCATTTAAATTTACCATAGTGCTAACTTAAACTATTTTATAATAGAATTAATAAAATGCTTCGCTGGGCGCAGCTTGATACGACCGCAGAGGTCGAACCCTGAACAGTTGGGGCAAGTATGGACACAACATTCAAGCTTGATACAGCTCTGAATTTGGATTGTGATTAAATATTTGACACAGCATAGGTTTCTGACACAGAAAGAATGTGGTCTAAGAACTTCAATTTTTTAATTTACCTATTATGGTCCAATGTCCAAAATCAAAATACATGGTTAGATTCAGCATATCAAAGAACCCCATATATTCAATTTTTGTTGAAATCGAACAAAGTTTAATTTTGGACCCCAACTTGGACAAACTTGAAAACTGGTCCCATAATCAAAAATCTAAACACATGTTTAGATTCAGCATATCAAAGTACCCAAAGAATTCAATTTTTGTTAAAATCAAACTAAGTTTAATTTTGGACCCTTTGGACCTTAATGTAGACCAATTTAAAAAACGGGACCCAAAATTAAAAATCTAAAAACACGGTTAGATTTGGCATATCAAAGAACCCCAATAATTCAATTTTTGATGAAATCAAACAAAGTTTAATTTTGGACCCTTTTAACCTCAATATGAACCAATTTGATAGTGGGCCCACAAAATAAAAAATCTAAATACATGGTAAGATTCAGCATATCAAAGAACCCCATATATTCAATTTTTGTTGAAATCAAACAAAGTTTAATTTTGGACCCCAATTTGGACCAACTAGAAAACTGGGCCAAAAATCTAAAATCTAAATACATGTTTAGATTCAGCATATCAAAGAACCCCATATATTCAATTTTTGTTGAAATCAAACAAAGTTTAATTTTGGACCCCAACTTGGACCAACTTGAAAACTGGGCCCATAATCAAAAATCTAAACACATGTTTAGATTCAGCATATCAAAGAACCCCAAGAATTCAATTTTTGTTAAAATCAAACTAAGTTTAATTTTGGACCCTTTGGACCTTAATGTAGACCAATTTAAAAACGGGACCCAAAATTAAAAATCTAAATACACGGTTAGATTTGGCATATCAAAGAACCCCAATAATTCAATTTTTGATGAAATCAAACAAAGTTTAATTTTGGACCCTTTTAACCTCAATATGAACCAATTTGATAGCGGGTCCACAAATAAAAAATCTAAATACATGGTTAGATTCAGCATATCAAAGAACCCCAAGAATTCAATTTTTGATGAAATCAAACAAAGTTTAATTTTGGACCCTTTTGACCTCAATGTGGACAAAGTTGATAACGGGGCCCAAAAATCAAAAATCTAAATACATGGTTAGATTCAGCATATCAAAGAACCCCATATATTCAATTTTTGTTGAAATCAAACAAAGTTTAATTTTGGACCCCGATTTGGACCAACTTGAAAACTGGGCCCATAATCAAAAATCTAAATACATGTTTAGATTCAGCATATCAAAGAACCCTAAAAATTCAATTTTTGTTAAAATCAAACTAAGTTTAATTTTGGACCCTTTGGACCTTAATGTAGACCAATTTAAAAAACGGGACCCAAAATTAAAAATCTAAAAACACGGTTAGATTTGGCATATCAAAGAACCCCAATAATTCAATTTTTGATGAAATCAAACAAAGTTTAATTTTGGACCCTTTTAACCTCAATATGAACCAATTTGATAGTGGGCCCACAAAATAAAAAATCTAAATACATGGTAAGATTCAGCATATCAAAGAACCCCATATATTCAATTTTTGTTGAAATCAAACAAAGTTTAATTTTGGACCCCAATTTGGACCAACTAGAAAACTGGGCCAAAAATCTAAAATCTAAATACATGTTTAGATTCAGCATATCAAAGAACCCCATATATTCAATTTTTGTTGAAATCAAACAAAGTTTAATTTTGGACCCCAACTTGGACCAACTTGAAAACTGGGCCCATAATCAAAAATCTAAACACATGTTTAGATTCAGCATATCAAAGAACCCCAAGAATTCAATTTTTGTTAAAATCAAACTAAGTTTAATTTTGGACCCTTTGGACCTTAATGTAGACCAATTTAAAAACGGGACCCAAAATTAAAAATCTAAATACACGGTTAGATTTGGCATATCAAAGAACCCCAATAATTCAATTTTTGATGAAATCAAACAAAGTTTAATTTTGGACCCTTTTAACCTCAATATGAACCAATTTGATAGCGGGTCCACAAATAAAAAATCTAAATACATGGTTAGATTCAGCATATCAAAGAACCCCAAGAATTCAATTTTTGATGAAATCAAACAAAGTTTAATTTTGGACCCTTTTGACCTCAATGTGGACAAAGTTGATAACGGGGCCCAAAAATCAAAAATCTAAATACATGGTTAGATTCAGCATATCAAAGAACCCCATATATTCAATTTTTGTTGAAATCAAACAAAGTTTAATTTTGGACCCCGATTTGGACCAACTTGAAAACTGGGCCCATAATCAAAAATCTAAATACATGTTTAGATTCAGCATATCAAAGAACCCTAAAAATTCAATTTTTGTTAAAATCAAACTAAGTTTAATTTTGGACCCTTTTGACCTTAATGTAGACCAATTTGAAAACGGAACCAAAAATTAAGAATCTAAATACACGGTTAGATTCGGCATATCAAAGAACCCCAATAATTCAATTTTTGATGAAATCAAACAAAGTTAAATTTTGGACCCTTTGGACCTCAATGTGGACCAATTTAATAACGGGGCCCAAAATCCAAAAACTTAATACACGGTTAGATTCAGCATATTAAAGAACCCCAAGAATTCAAGAATAAAACCCCATTGAAATTGATCAAGAAATTAGTAATTTATACGAAGTATCTTCTTTTGCACAATACTGTGCAACTGAATATTTCTTGCTATTGTGCAATACTGTACAATTGACAATTTCTTGCTATTGCGCAATATTGTGCTATTGGATATTTCTTGCTATTGCGCAATACTGTGCAATTGAAGATTTCTTGCTATTGCGCAATACTGTGCAATTGAAGATTTCTTGCTATTGCGCAATACTGTGCAATTGAAGATTTCTTGCAATTGTGCAATACTATGCAATTGAAAATTTCTTGCTATTGCACAATACTTATTATATAATAATTTACACATCCTGTTTGGTGTGTATCTCCTACCATATCATTATTATTTGCTTTTAAATATTAAATAACCAACTTAAAATGGAAAATTTTAAAGAAAAAAAAAAGAAAAAAAAGAAAAAAAAAGAAAAAAAAAAAATCCCCCCCCCAAATTTTTTGAACCCCCTTATGATTCATCACCCCCAAACTCAATCCCAGCCTTCCCTTTGTGGTATGGTACCTTGCAGTACAATTTCAGAGAGATCCATACACTTGAACACAAGTTATTGTCTGGAAACTAGAAAAATGCTTATTTTTGGCCCCTTTTTGGCCCCCAATTCCTAAACGTTTCGGGCAATTACCCACAAACTCAATTCCAGCTTTCCCTTTGTGATATGGAACCTTGTAGTACAATTTCAGAAATATCCAAACACTTACACACAAGTTATTGTCATGAAACTAGAAAAATGCTTGTTTTTTGCCCCTTTTTTGGCCCCTAATTCCTAAAATTTTGAGGCAATTACCCCCAAAATCAATTACAGCCTTCCCTTTGTGATATGGAACCTTGTGGTACAATGTCAGAGAGATCCATACACTTACACACAAGTTATTGTCTGGAAGTTACAAAAATGCTTATTTTTGGCCCCTTTTTGGCCCCTAATTCCTTAACTGTTGGTACCATAACCCCCAAAATCAATCCCAACCTTCCTTTCGTGGTATTGAACCTTATGGTAAAATTTCATGGAGATCCATTCACTTAAACTAAAGTTAGAGTGCGAAAACCAATGTGTCTTCGGACGACGCCGGACGACGCCAGACGACGACGACGACGACGACGACGACGACGACGACGACGACGACGCCAACGTCATACCAATATACGACCAAAAAATTTTCAATTTTTGCGGTCGTATAAAAATATAGTGTCAAATCTTTCATATGGATTTTTTTGTAAAAAAAAAGATGCAACATTTGCAGATATTTTTACTGGTCTTCCTTTATAAATATGCATTTCTTTAAACATAATTTAAAAGCAGTGTAAGGGAAGTAACCAAAACGTTGTATTTGGATTACCTCCCTTACACTGTTTTAAATTATCTTTATTGTTCATTAACCATTACTTTATACATAATTTAAAAGCAGTGTAAGGGAGATAATTTCAATGATGTATTTGATTTATCTCCCTTACACTGCTTTAAATTATGTTTTGTATTAAAGTATTTGTCCATTAACCAGGACAACCTTGTTTTTCCCCCTTTTTTGCCTCTAATTCCTAAACGGTTTGAGCCATAACCCCCCAAAGCAAATCCTAACCATCCCTTTGTGGTATGGAAACTTGTAGTATAATTTCAGAGAGATCCATACACCGTTCCACAGTTATTGTCTGGAAACTAGAAAATGCTTATTTTTGGCCCCTTTTTGGCCCCTAATTCCTTAACTGTTGGTACCATAAACCCCAAAATCAATCCCAACCTTCCTTTTGTGGTATTTAACCTTATGGTCAAATTTCAAAAAGATCCATTCACTTAAACTAAAGTTAGAGTGCGAAAACCAATGTGTCTTCGGACGACGCCAGACGACGACGACGCCGGACGACGACGACGCCAACGTCATACCAATATACGACAACAAAATTTTTTTGCGGTCGTATAAAAATTACTTGATATTTAGAAGAAAATACAAATTTTGCAATTTTTCCATTTATAAAGGGGCATAACTCTAGAACAGTTCGAGCATTGTGTATAAGTTTCATAACATTTGGTTGAGGCAAACTCAAGTTAGAGAATAGAAACCAATTTTGGGACGTACGGACAAGGGTAAAACTTAATGCCCCCATCGCTACTGCGGGGACATAAAAAAGTGCAGAAAACTGATTATTTGAGTGAATTTTCTAAGTCCAAGGACCATAACTCTGCACAAAATCATCAAACTGGAACAAAATTCGAAATTGATCTGTAACTTGTCATGATAAAACAATACACTAAATATCAAATCAATATCTTCAAGCACAAAGAAAAAAGGGTGGAAAACTGATTTGCCGGACTGACAGATGGACAGACAGACAAACAGATGGACGGAGTGCAAACCTAAAGTCCCCTTCGACTTCATCGGTAGGGGACTAATAAGAAGGATTAGTCATGCATACATGACCAAGGGGTTAGTTCAACTCTGGGTTGTGTCAATAAAAAGGAAGATTTTTGATAATCCGGGAATGTTTTTTTTGTTATGCAGCAAAAGCAAGATAGCCAACAGAACCATACTGACAAAATCATATTTACTTCCAAGTTTCATGTTGATGCCTTTTTAAAATGTTTGGAAGATTTGCTCCAAAAACATGCCCAATTTGTCAGGAGTGTGAAGCTTCAAGTGTGACATTTTAAAATTTACAAATTTTCAATGTTTTTCAAAAACAATAATAATGAATTAATTTTGAAAAAAGATGATTTTACTTATTATAAAATCCATTATCTTTGATATCCTGGATTTTTTTTAAATTATAAGATGTACAATAATTTAACACATATGCTAGTTTTGAAGCTATACAGAATAACAAACAAACCTACCACAAAATTCTTCTAAACATTCCCCCCCCCCCCCCCCCCCCAGAAAAAAAAAATTCCAAAATATCACTTATCATTAATACAATGTCTTTAAAAAATCTATAAAACTTAACTATAATTATTTTCAAAATATATAATAATGAACAGTAAATTTCAAACTATATTTATACCGTCCTACAGAGCTTATCATCAACAACACTTAGGAAACACAATTAAAATAAATCTGTCACTCCAATGATAATTTTGTTACTTGATAATTACCACATGTTTGTTATCCTGATAAAAGGTGGAAATTATTGCATAAATAAACTAATAGTAAATACATTGTCCTCATCCATATACTGTATAGCGGGTTTTTTTCGCGGGTGTAAAATTTCGCGATTTAAGGGCAACACAGTAAATGAAAAATTTTGGCGGTTTTTATTTTGGCGGATAATGAATTGGTTGCTATTAAAAAGTTGTAAAAAGTGACGGGCAGAAAACAGTTAAACTCTCTTTGCTGAATGACGTCTTGTTTATTGAATATATTCAGATACAGTTATTCAATAAAAAAACGCTAAATTAGATATTTGTCACAGATGTACAAACTTTTTGTAAATGTTACGTTTGATTTGTTACGAAATTGACCGCACCTTTGATGTAGTAATTAGGTTATAAAATTATCATGAGTGACTTACAACTCTGAAATAATTTGACACTAATTAAGAAGGGTAAAATACCCAACAGAGTACCTTACACTCTTTTATTTGACACTAAATAAAAAGGGTATGCATATATACTGTTTAATTAGCACAATCATGAGTATTCAAATGTAAGTACAATATCACTTAACTCATGTTTATCTTCATACGATGTGTTAAAATCGGTTAATTTTATGTGTTATGTTTTCTTTTTCAATAATAAGGGGGAGGGTTATCGAATTCAAACTTGATCCTATTTATCTTATAATCTGACTGGCGATCGCTAAGTGTTCGTTTTTTTTTTTTATTTAAGTCGAAAGCATTTGGATTCGGGCATATAACACTATTTGTAGAGTTCTTGAATTCTATTTACTTACAATAAATTGCTATATGATGTCAGAAAAATAATTAAATATGTACATAAAATATGGAGAGTTGTCTCATTGACACTCATACCACATCTTCTTATTTATATAAAATATTTACTGATTTGTCTTTATATCAGACAGGTATATAAGACACAACTAAAATAGTTTTTATTCCATTGATACTTTATTTCATGGAAACTTGTATAGAAATAAAAGTTTGGAGCTCTTATCAAATGCAAAAGTTATAAATGAATAATTTATCATGTTTATTGATGTAAAAATATAAATCAAAATATAACTGAAAGTTCAAATATATTGTATGAAAAACTTCATGGTTTGGAAATGTTTGTCAAAATAAATATAATTTAATTTTTCATTCAGAAAAAAAAATAGATGATACATAATTGCACTTTTCATAAATGTGTCATTTATTTCTCTATAATCCAGTATCAGGTTATATATTTTTAAGTGTGTGCACATTATATAAATGTATCTAGCTAGCTAGGTAAGTATTGATGTTTTTAGGAAAAATTTTTTTTTTATCCTTCATCATACATGTCATATAGCAGGAATAAGAAAATCTATATATACAAAAAAGGTTTATACTCTAATAAAATATAGATATCATTGTAAATAAAAATGTATCTTTTATTTGCTTCATCATGATTGTTTGAATAAATTATCCCATTTGATTTGGGCATAAAAAGCCTTTCAATTATTTATGTGTTCTCTGTTTTCTTACAGGATGTGACCAGAATTTATGCTGCAATAAGATATTAATTTGCCATAAATTGGATTGACAAGACAGGTAAATTTCAGTATAAAAATAAGAAGATGTTTTATGATTGCCAATGATTAACCAATGATAATACTTGGTTTTATAAATTTAATCAGTACTTTAGCCTAAACTCCATATTTTATCATTTCAAACTAAATTTGAAATCTTCAATTTCATTTAATAAACTGTTTGTATCAAGGATGGTAATTTAAATTTGGTTCAAGATTTTGAATTAATAAACATTACAATTGAAAAAAACGCATCTCTTGAATTATGCATATAACTTCAAGCACATGCTATCATTATATGTACATGATTAGAATAAAAATTTTTAAATTTTAAATATGATCAGTCCATTTTTGTAAAAACTTGAAAACAATCAAGATTTATTTTAATAATTTAGAGCTGCACATCCTTAAATTTTACACACAGTTTCATCATACATGTATTGTCTTGGGTCATGATTTCACAAGTCACAAGTCTTGTTGACAGGATAATTTACTGATAGTTTGTTTTGAACCATCATTGATGATAAAAGTGATCACAATCTTTGGAAACATTTTAATGATCATAGTATATTTACATTTTGATCACTGATTTAATTCATGAGGATAAATGAAGTTGACATATTTCAATTTATTTCATACATCTACATGCATGTGTAAAGTTTTGTGTCAAATTATGGTGGTTGTTAACAATTACATGCATTATGACCAACAAGTTGTTAATTTTCATTATTATTATATTTCAGGTCAAATGAATATCCAATCTGTGATAAAGTGACATATATATTTACACTAAAAAGTAAAACATAGATATTATCATGCCAACTGGAGAACATCCTAAAAAGGGAGGATTAATTTTCTAAATGGTTCATCACAAATGTGTTATTTATAATTTCAAAATTGCTAGAATATAGCAATGTGAATGGAAAAGGAAAACTCAATGTAATTCATGTACTACAAGGATTAAGTGATTAAAATAATAGTGTCGGAAATCATTCATTATTAATGAGGTAGGAAGTATACATCATTCTATCTAGGATATTGCACTGTTTCAGTGGAAATCTTTATCAATAGTTTGACAGGTGACATTCTTTTTCAATGATATTAACTACAAGTGTATTTCATTCAAAACTTCAATGTAATTTTTCTTTACCTTTAGCAATAAATGCTTCTCATATTAGATTATCATTATTTCTAATTCTTTGTCAAAAAGACTAATTCTCAGAAGGACAACTTCTTCCCTAATGCAGATTTTGAACTTATACCTATATATCACTTCAGCATGTTATACAATTACAAATATAAATATGCAAAAACTGAATATTATAAAAGGTATAAAGCAGGGAGAAAGACTAACATTATCAATATAGAGGCCCAAATTGTGAAAATATGAAAGATTAACATAAGCATTATGGATATTTTCAGTTAACTTAAATATTGAGGGGCCAAGTCCAAAACCTATACAAGCCTTAGCTACTGGTCTCCTGCTTGTTAATCTTTTCCCCCATTAAGTCATGCAAATCAAGTCAAATCTTCTAACCTTGTATTCTTTTGAGTGATAATTAACCAATTGGACAGTTAAGATTGTGTTGATATTTTTTGAAACATTGATACATGTATTTGCCAACTAGTGTATCTAAAGTATAGATCATATATATATAAAAGTCTAAATTGAAAAAAACGTTCAAACCTATGATTGCGTTGGATAAAAACCGCAATTTTTATACGTGTGCATGCAAAACAAATTTCTTGGTAGAAGGGTCTAAATACAGCACAAACAACATTTTCAAAAAGACCAAAAAGTGAAAAAGTATATTTTTACAAAACGCATTTGACTAGTATATTTCATTCAAAATCAATGGGCCATCTAGGGGAAACATGAAATTATTACAATAAACAAGAAAACAAGTACAACAGAACAAATTCAACGGATGTTCTTAAACCCTGCTGACTGCCATGGTGATTGCCAAATAAACGGATCACCAGATGTAACAAAACTGATCTTAATTATTAATTTAATACCAAACAGAAAACAATAAACTTGCGGAAAAGATGGTATACCGCAAACATGAGGTGCAAAAATTTGTACACCATATCCGGATTTCGACAGTTAATGTCTTCAGTGATGTTAGGAATCGAAACGGTATTTGGAAGACCATTTGATTTACCTCAATTTAGGATAGACTCTTGAATTTTATAGAGTCGAAATAGGATGAACGGATTATATAAACCCGAATGCAAATATAGTACAAGCCCAAACGAAAAAATATAAACAAGTCTAAATTGAAAACAACGTTCAAACCTATGATTGCGTTGGATAAAAACAGCAATTTTTATACGTGTGCTTGCAAAACAAATTTCTTGGTAGAGGGGTCTAATTACAGCACAAACAACATTTTCCAAATGACCACAAAAGTGAAAAAGTATATTTTAACAAAACGCATTTGACTAGTATATTTCATTCAAAATCAATGGGCCATCTAGGGGAAACATGAAATTATTACAATAAACAAGAAAACAAGTACAACAGAACAAATTCAACAATTCTGAGGGAAAGAATTTGTGATACATTTATCCGGGTCTGAGTGGGATTTACAGCATACTAGAGAATAATGGGCCAATTCTGGAGGAAAAGGGGCAGAAAAAATAAAAGAATAGAGAAAAGTAGGCCCCAAAAATAAATAGAGAATAATATATGGTGCTAAATTTTAAAGAATAGTGACTAACAGGCAAAAAAATAAAGAACCGAAAAAAAATGACATAAATGTTAAAGAATACAGAAATGAAGGATCCCTCTCTAGCATGTGATTTCTAGACTCTTATTTATCTTTAAAAAAATAAACTTCATTGATGAATGCTGTACAGTGACCTATAATCATTATTGCTTAGGGAGCAACCATTTAACTCCAAGGGGGGTTATGGTTTTTTGTCTGAGTCAGAATTTTTTTTTAGTTTTTGACGCTATCAATCAAATTATTTTTTTACACTATAAGGTATGGTGAAAATCTGGATCCAGAATATTTTTTTTGTCATCTGCTTGACCACAATATTTTTTTTCATCAAATTGGGGATCAGAATATTTTTTTAGGAAAAAATCATAACCTCCCCCCCTTTTTGAAGTTAAATGGTCGTTCCCTAATATTCACAATATTTGAATATCCTATCTGGATAGTTGTATCATTGGAAATCTGACCACAACTCCTTATTTTTATATTGACATATAAATGAAAGAATCTGACTTTAACTTCATACAGTAAATATCATAAACTATCAGTGCCTTACAATGCTAGATATGAACACGAAAATTTCAAAATGCGCTGATGAAATATGTTTTCTGGACCCCTCCCTCTTTTGTCATCCACATATGAAAATAGCGATACGCTTATTAAATAGTGCTGAAAACACAAACAAATACAGTTGAAGGTGAAAGTGAATAAAAAATGAAAATATATCATAAGGGCAGAGAAACAGCAGCTCAATTTAATAATTAAAAGGAAAAATTGGCGCTCTCAGTTAACAAAGGGGAGTAATTCGATTGGAACATTGAAAGTCAATTGAGCATTTTCACGATTCAGTCATAAAAACGATTAGAACAAGGGCATACTGGCCTCTAAGGTCGATTTTTTTTGTTTTCCCAGAAATTACACTGCGCTAACATATGGCAAAGAATACAGATAATCAGAGTAGTGACATACATGTACCAGAAACAGCGAAAAAGGCACAAAATGTGAAATGATGGACCTTTTAATCTGTTTTTCTATGCCATATCTTTAAGAACAACACTTTGCCATGATTTTTTAATGAAATTTAGATCATAAGCTATTCATAGGTGTCTTTGATTATACATTTACACATCAGCATGCCCTTGTTCTATTTAGATTTATTTGTCATTATTTTGCTTTCTATTTCGGGTAGTCACGTGACTTTTTCCCTGGGTCTAAATATAGATTTAGATTTTTTTTTCAAAGAACTACATCTAATGTCTTTATACACACCGACTATATTATGATTAGAGACAACTTCTTATTTACTGGACACTCAATGTGAAAACACTGCATTTTTGTTCATTTTCAAGTGGCGAACAACCTTAACATCACTGCGTATTTTGTTTTAACTATCAAAGGCAATGATAAACCCTGGAATATATAGATATCAAGTCAGTACCATATTGGTACCGAAAAACTATGGTACGATGTCATTAATGTCTCCTTTCATTACATTGAAAATAATGTATGCTCTGCTTACTTTTTAAAAGAAACACTAGGAGAAAATTGTAATGGCCATAAACCTACATGTATATTGTCAAAACAAGGCGGAATGGCTAATAAAAACTATGATTTATGGAAATGTATTTGTTTATCTGGTTCTTAAGTGTTTCTCGTTTTTAGACCGTTGGTTTTCCTGTTTGAATTGTTTCACACTAGTCATTTTGGGGTCCTTTATAGCTTGCTGTTCAGTGTGAGCCAAGGCTCGGTGTTGAAGGCCGTATTTGACCTATAATTGTTTACTTTTTACACATTGCGACTTGGATGGAAAGTTGTCTCATTGGCACTTATACCACATCTTCTTATTTCTATACATATCAAATGCATTTTAACTTCAAAACAAAGATTTTTGTTTCATGCATGCAAGTTCCTTGTGTAACAACATGGCGACCACAATTATGCAAAAGGTACCGGTAGATAACCCTATATCATATTCATACTAGTACTGTAATAATGGTCATTTGAGAACATTTGTTATCTTTATATTTTCTTTTCTTTTTATTAATTTATTTCCAATGTAAAAGGAATACAACATGCTGTTTCATCCGTTTTTTCAATTTTTTTTTATTAAGATAGTTCACATAGTATAAGTTGAAGTCTGCATTGTCATTTTCTTAATTTTATAAATACAACCAAATATTTATATATACTTACTGTAAACAATTACATTGATTTTATTCTGTTCTTCCATTCTACATGCATTGAAATGATGTAATGCCTGCACCCATGTCATCCATCTGTGTAAGGCAGATAAATAACTAACACATCTGTCCACAGTTGTGTTACCAAGTCCAAAACAGTTGGTAATAAAGCATTCGTAAGTTCCTGTATCATCATCAGAAATATTTTTTATTGTTAGGGATGTCTTAGAATCTATGTATTTGTCAATATGTAAATTAATATCCTTCCCATCTTTCTGCCACCTAAGAGATCTGATTGGAAGAAGAGACTTGATTTCACACAAAATGGTAAAATTATCCTCTTCAATCACATGGTAAATTTTAGGTGTGCAATGTTCTGTATAAATGATCCTGTCATTCTCTGATATTCCACTAGTCTGGATAACTTGTGGTTTGACTGGAATAAAAAATAACATTAAAATATACATACATAATTAAGGTCTTTCCCAAAGTGGGAAAGACCTTATTGTTTTTCTAATGTTTTTTTTGAAGGTCTTTCCCTATGTGGGAACGACCTTATTACTAATTTTTTTTCTTAGGTCATTTTTCTTATTTTTTCTTCCAACATTTTTTTGTCATGGCCTCCCCCCGTTTCTATTGAGGTTATCATGACCATCGATAGACCTCATCATAAACCTATGTGAACCAATTTAAAAACGGGGACAACAATCACAAAATCAAAATACATTTTTTTACACGGTTAAATTTAGCATATTAAAAAAATCAAGACATTGATTTAACCCTATTGAAATTGAAAAAGAAAAGCAATATATTCAAAGTATGAGAAAAGTAATGTTTCTGGCCCCTTTTTCCTAAACAGTTAGGGCCTTAACCCCCAAAATCAATCCCAACCTTCCTTTTGAGGTTTGGAACCTTGTGGTAAAATTTCATAGAGTTCCATACACTTATACTCAAGTTATTGTCCTGAAACATGAACATTCTTCTTTTTGGCCCCTCATTCCTAAAGAGTAAAGACAATAACCCCCAAAATCAATCTCAACCTTCCATTTGTGGAATGGAACCTTGTGGTACAATTTCAAAGAGATCCAAACAACTTATACTCAAGTTTTTGTCTGGAAACCAAATGTCTTTGGACGACGACGATGATGACGTCAAAACATTATACGACCGCAAGAAATTTTAAATTTTGCGATCATATAAAAATGATTACTATTTTAATACCTTCAATTATAGGTCAATATCAAGGTCATGAGAAAATTTCACCTGGATCGTCAAAGGGTACTATAACCTTGACCAAGCAGTCCTGAGTTGAATGGTGGTAGTCTCATGACTCTTCAACTTCCGGTTCTCAAGTTCGGTATTGCATCATATATTTAATTATTCATTGTGCCCGTGATGAGCTATGGAATTGCCGCAATTTTTTTTTTTTCTTTTATGTACGGTGTTCCGCAGATCATATTACAAATAGCAGATTTGTGATATCTGTCGTCGTTTTAGAGATGTTGCGGTTTGAAATTTAGTGAGGAGGGGCATATATTTCTGAAACAACAACAGCTAGTCACCTGAAATTTTTAGAAATTGAGGGAGAGTTTGACATGGTTTTATGTTTGACTAAATACCAATAAAATGCTCCGCAGGGCGCAGCTTGATACGACCGCAGAGGTCGAACCCTGAACAGTTGGGGCAAGTATGGACACAACATTCAAGCTTGATACAGCTCTGAATTTGGATTGTGATTAAATATTTGACACAGCATAGGTTTCTTACACAGAATGAATGTGGTCTAAGAACTTAAAAATTTTAAATTGGACATTCACCTATTATGGTCCAATATCCAAAATCTAAATACATGGTTAGATTCAGCATATCAAAGAACCCCAAGAATTCAATTTTTGATGAAATCAAACAAAGTTTAATTTTGGACCCTTTTGATCTCAATGTGGACAAAAATGATAACAGGGCCCAAAAATCAAAAATCTAAATACATGGTTAGATTCAGCATATCAAAGAACCCCATATATTCAATTTTTGTTGAAATCAAACAATGTTTAATTTTGGACCCCTATTTGGACCAACTTGAAAACTGGGCCCATAATCAAAAATCTAAATACATGTTTAGATTCAGCATATCAAAGAACCCTAAAAATTCAATTTTTGTTAAAATCAAACTAAGTTTAATTATGGACCCTTTGGACCTTTATGTAGACCAATTTGAAAACGGAACCAAAAATTAAGAATCTAAATACACGGTTAGATTCGGCATATCAAAGAACCCCAATAATTCAATTTTTGATGAAATCAAACAAAGTTAAATTTTGGACCCTTAGGACTTCAATGTGGACCAATTTAAAAACTCGGCCCAAAATCCAAAAACTTAATACACGGTTAGATTCAGCATATTACAGAACCCCATATATTCAATTTTTGTTGAAATCAAACAAAGTTTAATTTTGGACCCCGATTTGGACCAACTTGAAAACTGGGCCCATAATCAAAAATCTAAATACATGGTTAGATTCAGCATATCAAAGAACCCCATATATTCAATTTTTGTTGAAATCAAACAAAGTTTAATTTTGGACCCCGATTTGGACCAACTTGAAAACTGGGCCCATAATCAAAAATCTAAATACATGGTTAGATTCAGCATATCAAAGAACCCCATATATTCAATTTTTGATGAAATCAAACAAAGTTTAATTTTGGACCCTTTTGATCTCAATGTGGACAAAAATGATAACAGGGCCCAAAAATCAAAAATCTAAATACATGGTTAGATTCAGCATATCAAAGCACCCCATATATTCAATTTTTGTTGAAATCAAACAAAGTTTAATTTTGGACCCCGATTTGGACCAACTTGAAAACTGGGCCCATAATCAAAAATCTAAATACATGTTTAGATTCAGCATATCAAAGAACCCTAAAAATTCAATTTTTGTTAAAATCAAACTAAGTTTAATTTGGACCCTTTGGACCTTTATGTAGACCAATTTGAAAACGGAACCAAAAATTAAGAATCTAAATACACGGTTAGATTCGGCATATCAAAGAACCCCAATAATTCATTTTTTGATGAAATCAAACAAAGTTAAATTTTGGACCCTTAGGACTTCAATGTGGACCAATTTAAAAACTCGGCCCAAAATCCAAAAACTTAATACACAGTTAGATACAGCATATTACAGAACCCCATATATTCAATTTTTGTTGAAATCAAACAAAGTTTAATTTTGGACCCCGATTTGGACCAACTTGAAAACTGGGCCCATAATCAAAAATCTAAATACATGGTTAGATTCAGCATATCAAAGAACCCCATATATTCAATTTTTGTTGAAATCAAACAAAGTTTAATTTTGGACCCCGATTTGGACCAACTTGAAAACTGGGCCCATAATCAAAAATCTAAATACATGGTTAGATTCAGCATATCAAAGAACCCCATATATTCAATTTTTGATGAAATCAAACAAAGTTTAATTTTGGACCCTTTTGATCTCAATGTGGACAAGGTTGATAACGGGGCCCAACAATCAAAAATCTAAATACATGGTTAGATTCAGCATATCAAAGAACCCCATATATTCAATTATTGTTGAAATCAAACAAAGTTTAATTTTGGACCCCGATTTGGACCAACTTGAAAACTGGGCCCATAATCAAAAATCTAAATACATGGTTAGATTCAGCATATCAAAGAACCCCATATATTCAATTTTTGTTGAAATCAAACTAAGTTTAATTTTGGACCCTTTGGACTTTAATGTAGACCAATTTGAAAACAGAACCAAAAATTAAGAATCTAAATACACGGTTAGATTCGGCATATCAAAGAACCCCAATAATTCAATTTTTGATGAAATCAAACAAAGTTAAATTTTGGACCCTTTGGACCTCAATGTGGACCAATTTAAAAACGGGGCCCAAAATCCAAAAACTTAATACACGGTTAGATTCAGCATATTAAAGAACCCCAAGAATTAAAGAATAAAACCCCATTGAAATTGATCAAGAAATAAGCAATTTATACGAAGTATCTTCTTTTGCACAATACTGTGCAATTGACAATTTCTTGCTATTGCGCAATATTGTGCTATTGGATATTTCTTGCTATTGCGCAATACTGTGCAATTGAAGATTTCTTGCTATTGCGCAATACTGTGCAATTGAAGATTTCTTGCTATTGTGCAATACTGTGCAATTGAAAATTTCTTGCTATTGCACAATACTTATTATATAATAATTTACACATCCTGTTTGGTGTGTATCTCCTACCATATCATTATTATTTGCTTTTAAATATAAATCAGAAATAACCAACTTAAAATGGAAAATTTTAAAAGAAAAAAAAAAGGAAAAAAAGAAAAAAAAAAGAAAAAAAAAATCCCCCCCCCAAATTTTTTGAACCCCCTTATGATTCATCACCCCCAAACTCAATCTCAGCCTTTGTGGTATGGTACCTTGCAGTACAATTTCAGAGAGATCCATACACTTGAACACAAGTTATTGTCTGGAAACTAGAAAAATGCTTATTTTTGGCCCCTTTTTGGCCCCCAATTCCTAAACGTTTCGGGCAATTACCCCCAAACTCAATTCCAGCTTTCCCTTTGTGATATGGAACCTTGTAGTACAATTTCAGAAATATCCAAACACTTACACACAAGTTATTGTCATGAAACTAGAAAAATGCTTGTTTTTTTGCCCCTTTTTTGGCCCCTAATTCCTAACATTTTGAGGCAATTACCCCCAAAATCAATTACAGCCTTCCGTTTGTGATATGGAACCTTGTGGTACAATGTCAGAGAGATCCATACACTTACACACAAGTTATTGTCTGGAAGTTACAAAAATGCTTATTGTTGGCCCCTTTTTGGCCCCTAATTCCTTAACTGTTGGTACCATAACCCCCAAAATCAATCCCAACCTTCCTTTCATGGTATTGAACCTTATGGTAAAATTTCATGGAGATCCATTCACTTAAACTAAAGTTAGAGTGCGAAAACCAATGTGTCTTCGGACGACGCCGGACGACGACAACGACGACAACGACGCCAACGTCATACCAATATACGACCAAAAAATTTTCAATTTTTGCGGTCGTATAAAAACGTTTGATGAAAAAAAAAAAAAAAAAAAAAAAAAAATAGCAATTTGAAATTTTCATGTTTCACATTGACTTTGTTAGTTTCATAAGATCTATTTATAAAATTCATATTGCATCATTTTTTTTTGGATTTTCCAAATGGGGTCATGTAACATTAAAGGGAAAATTCGCGATTTTTTACTTTTCATCTTATTATGTTCATAATACCATAAAAAACATATTTACCAAGTTTTATCTGGATATGAACACTAATAAAGAAGAAAATTGGGAATTAATAATTTAATTTATTCCAACTTCCTGACTTATGTGACGTAGTTTAAGTCTT